TGACCTAGGGAGGATTTTATTTGGGGTTTATCTTTTAACAATTTGACAGAGACACAACTTTAAAATTTGATTTAATTCGGTTTTATCGGGGGGGAATGTATTTATGTTTTGTTTTAAATATGTTGTGCGCCGCCCTGAGTCCCGTTGGGAGAAGGGCGGCATATAAATTAAATTTATTATTATTATTATTATTATTACAAATATAATAATCATAATCTAACTAACATCAACCAACTACATAAATAACCAAGTCCATAATGTGCTTTAACTCCCCTTTAACGTAAATATAATAATAATAATTAAAACATAAACAAATTAGTATCCTAATTATTAAACAATAGAATATTGTTAAACAATACTAATACTAAAAATAATAATATATAATTAAGACTAATAAAAAATTCACTATAATAAACTATTAATACTAATAATACTCTAAAATTTACTCATAGGCTAAATGGAACTTTTTAGTCCCATATTTATTCTGAATATAATCTATCCATCTTCTCCAAACCGAAATGTATCTTTCTTGTGAATGATCCTTCAAATAAGCAGAAATCTTAGCCATTTCTGCTAAATTTGACACTTTAAGCGTCCATTCTTCCATAGTAGGCAAGCAATCCTTCTTCCAATATTGCCCAAATTTCAATTTCTTTATTATATTGTCAATGTATGTGCGTACATAGTATACATATACAACTAAATTTACTTGACACCCAAAACCCAAGTCCCACACACATAATACCCAAACACACTCCCCACCACCACAAATCCCCACCCCTAAAACCACCCAACATCCACACAACAGACCAAGTAATGCTATCCAACAGTTCACTGATGGTGGCCCTTTAGTTCATTGTTGAGTGCAATTACAGCTCTGGGATAAAAACTATTCAGAAAACATGTGGTCCAAGAGTTTTAATTATTCTGTATCTTCCTTCCCACCCTCCTTAACAACTCTATTCATCCTATTAGGCAAGAAATGAAATCACCCCGGGAGGACAGAAATGTGATCCCCCTTATCGACTTCGTCAGCCTGAAGGAGCTACCTGGATAAGCAGTGAAACATTTCAAACCAAGAAAGAAAAGAACTCTAGTTTGCCATTCCAACTTCCAGTCAATTCTACCTAGATGACTATGAATCTCCAACGCCATGCTGCCCAAGTTTACATAGCACGCTACATCCAAAAGTCATATCATGCCTTGATGTGGTGTATAAACCACATCTCTATCTGCGAGAAAACAAGCGATTTCCTTCTAGAGACCCAGGTTCAATTTTCCATTCTGCCACAAAGTTTCTAAAATATTCTTCTAGAAGTAGATCACTATTTTACTACCTTGCAGCCTAACCTACCTCACAGGATTCATGTTATTAGGATGAATATAAAGGAAATAACATACAGCAAAGGTCTCCTATGCTTTCTAGAAATGTTAGATACTGTACAGAGAAAGGCAACCTTAGTTAATCAGAATAGAGAGCTGGAAGGGGCCTTGGAGGTCTTCTATCTAGTCCAGGGGTAGGCAACCTCGGCTCTTTTATGACTCATGGACTTCAACTCCCAGAATTCTAGCTGACTCAGGAATTCTAGGAATTGAAGTCCATGAGTCATAAAAGAGCCGAGGTTGCCTACCCTGATCTAGTCCAACCCCCTGCTCAGGCAGGAAACCCTATACCAGTGTTTCTCAACCTTGACAATTTTAAGGCATGTGGACTTCAACTCCCAGAATTCCACAGCCAGCATTGCTGGCTGTGGAATTCTGGGAGTTGAAGTCCACATGCCTTAAAATTGTCAAGGTTGAGAAACACTGCCCTATACCATTTTCGGACAAATGGCTGTCCAGTCTCTTCTTAAAGACTTCCATTTTGGAGCATTCACCGCTTCTAGAGGCAGGTTGTTCCACTGGCTAATTGTTCTAACTGTCAGGAAGTTTCTCCTTAATTCCAGGTTGCTTCTCTTCTTGATTAGTTTCTATCCGTTGCTTCTTGTCCTGCCTTCAGGCGCTTTGGAAAATAAGTTGACCCTCTCTTCTCTGTGGCAGCCCGAGATATTGGAAGATGGCTATCATGTCACCCTTAGTCCTTTTCATTAAACTAGACATAAACAATTCCTGCAACTGTTCTTCATTATGTTTTAGCCTAGCATATGGAATACGTTATGCTAAACACTGGAATACAGCTATACTGGAATACCTTCTCTTAAGTCAAGATAAATAATTATCTTGGAGGGAGGTTGAAGGTCACAACGTGGGTGAGTGAGTCCAAATTTAGGGTAGATTTTTTTACTGAGATAGGCCTATTATAGGACTTGCCCATCTCAAAATGACACTTTCTGTAAATTTTAGCAGTTACGGATGAGAACTGCGGAGAGCGCTTGTCCAATTCCGATTTTTCTTCTATCTCAAGTGTTTCTCAACCTTGACCATTTTAAGGCATGTGGACTTCAACTCCCAGAATTCCACAGCCAGCATTGCTGGCTGTGGAATTCTGGGAGTTGAAGTCCACATGCCTTAAAATGGTCAAGGTTGAGAAACACTGATCTATCTGGTCGAAACCATTTTCACCTGGGGGCGGGGGGGAGGAGAATGAATCAGGAACTTAAAATCCTAATTAGGGATTCACGTATCTCGCGCTAAGCCACCGGCTTGATGGAAGACATCATTGCTCAGCTCATCCATCACCCTGCCTAAACCGTGCAGCCAACCAACCAACCATATCGCGGTCTAACCCGACGGGCAAAATTAGAGCAACAGCCGTCAATCGCATGCAGGTTTCTATCGAGATGGCGGCAGACAAGTTGGACGAACACATACATAAACAAGCAGCGCTGAACCCGGACCAGAAACCCAACGGATGGCAGCGGATTCCACACAACTCACCTCATCACGCGTATCGCCAAGGCCGCGAAAGCCCCGGCGGGCCGCTTATATTCGACTTCTGATCTCGCGAGTCTTCGTACATTGAACGTCACAGAACGGGAAGGGGAACGGGTGAGGCCGGGCGCGCCCTTTTGAAAGTGGTCAAAAGGAGCTCTGGGAGTGGCTGCGAGCCTAAGCCTAGAGAAGTTGCTCCGAGTGGAGGATACGCCCTGCGTGCGCGCCTGCCTTTCTTCTAGTGCTGTAAGTAAAGCCAATGCAACCAGGGGCGTACTTTGCACGATTTGCATTGGGAGGAGTATTAGTTTAAGGCAGTAATTAAGGCTCCGACTTAATACCTTCCATAAGTGGTGGTCCCAGCTCAATCCTTGGCTGTTGGCTCTGGCTGATGGGATTTAACACATTTGGAAAGAGGAAAAACGCGGAACCTGCAAGGTGTGTTTACACGGGAGTAATCCCTATTGTACTTAATGGAGCTTCTATAGGAGCAATAAAGCTTGTATCGGATTCCAGACAAATTTGCCGAACTTTGAGGCTGTTTTACTTTGGAGAAACCTCTGTTGCAAATAGGTGGTGGGGTTTACATGCTAAGAAAAAGGTTGGGTAGGCTTGTGCAGGAGGCATCTTGTGCGGGTTCAACCTGGGTAGTTACAGTACTTCCAGGGGTATAAATTCAGAAAATGGGTGTTTTAGAAGAGCAGTGTTTTCCAAAAGTGGGGACTTCTGGGTGATGGAGTCCACACAAGTTATCAAAGTTTGAAAATCACTGCTCTAAAGCCAGCCCAGGCACAACCGTTGAAACCTCACTTCTGAATAGGTTGCATTTTTATTACTCCTCTCAGAATTTCTGTCTTAGGAAATGTTAAATGGCTTGAGATGCTCCTGATGAAAAGGTTAACTGAAAACTATAAAAGACTGAGATGGCAATTTGGATTGGTATAAATAATACAGAGACTTTCTAGGAAGTAGAATGTAAGTTTTGTAAAGTGTTAGAAAAACATTAGCACGATAAATAATACTTTTTAATGTGATAAGTTTATCACTGAACTTTAAGAGGAATTAATAAATTCATACTAAGAGAAATGAGCTAATATTGTAAACAAGCTGTTCTCAAAACCTTGGGAAATATGTAGCCCTAATAATGGACAATTTGCATGATTAGTGGTTTCAACTGCCATTATAATTAATTTCTTGCGAAATAAATTCCCTTCACTTTTTTTTCTATATAACTTAACACATTCCAAATCCTCCAAGTTGTTCCTAGGCAGTAGTTAATTGGAGCTTACTTCCAAATAATGTCAGCTGGTGAAGAAAAAAAATCCATTTTTTTGTTAACGTTTGATTTGAAGCAACCAGCAAATACACTTATCAAATCTAATGTTTGTAAACAGTCAACAATTGAGAAGTTTGTTTCTAAGTGATACAGACTGTGTGAATGACTAACTATGGTTTATTGCAGGGGTGTCAAACTGCCATCACGATACATCACGACATGTCACGTGACATAGCTTGTTTGACACCCCTGGTTTATTGATTAAACCATTGCATCATTCACACATTGCCTTAAACCATAAATCAGTTTATAAAATACTAAAGTCTATGTCCAAACAAACCACCTATGGATCCAGGCTTAAAGTAAGAACAGAATTGCAGCTATGTACTATGTTTGATTTACTTACATTATCTGTAGAAAAATATTCAGTTAAATTTATTCCTTTACAGTGAAATTGCTGGCTTATACTGTACACATACTTTTTTCCTGTCCAAAGTAGTTGAGATATTGCGGATGCTGATTCATCAACTGTATTGCTTGTTGAATCATCTGTTTTTTTCCTCTGAATAATCAAAAAGAGCAGATGTGAACACCAACATTAACAATGGAAGGAAAGACTGAAATAGTGAAACAGACAGCAGAGCACAATAGGTCCATGACTTTTTAAACATGTAACGCTCTCAGAAATGACTGAACATGTGTACTGTTAAAGCTTGGATTTAATCGCAAAACCAGTATGTTCATTAACAGACCTGTAACCTGTTCTTGATGTACTTTGATCTCTTAGGAGCTGACCTGCCTGGTTGGCTGCCTGTAATAAAACATGGCTAGAGTGGAAAAATTTGCTTTTCACACACCTACTCCAGAAGAAGTGGCTGATGGTAAGCAAGCATGTTTCTTTTGTGTTAGAAAAGCTGTGAGAGAAGAATCAGTGTAACAGCTGCAGTTAGAAAAGCAGGATATAGTGCCCGATATAAAACATTGTGTGTATTTGTTTGAAAGGGAGGCAACCTTTCTTCCCCCATGTAGAGATGTCTTTGAAGGGAACACTTGGAAGTCATTATAGAAATAAGGGCAGAAGCATTCCTTAAGCCCCGGGAAAAGTAAGTTTCAAGAACACTCCCATCAACACAAAGAGTCTGTCACTGTAGCTATTTCAATAAAATATAGTTACAGATAGTCTTTGCTTAACCATTTGTTCAGCAACTGGTGCTGAGCAAATGATAGCTAGTTATGGGCTGTTGCAGCACCTCTGCAGTTGCATAATCAAAATTTGAGTGTTTGGCAACTGGCCCGCACTTACAACCACAGCACTGGAGGAGTTATGGTGGAGCAGTGGTTAGAATGCAGTATTGCAGGCTAATTCTGTCCACATCCTGGAATTCGATCCTGACCGGGCTCAAGATTGACTCAGCTTTCCATCTTTCCTAGGTTGGTAAATGAGGACCCAGATTGCTGGGGGCAAGATGTTGACATTTGTAAACTGTTCAGAGAGGGCTGTAAAGCACTATGGAATGGTATATAAATCTACTTGCTAAATGCACCCCTCATTTCTGCCTTTTTGGCTCCTTGCACTCTGCTGCCATCACCTACCCCTGCTGGTGCCCTCTCCCACCTGATCTTCGCTGTCTTCTGCTGGTGATCCAGGATCCAGATGCTAAACAAGGACATAGCCCTAGGATGCGTGGAGCAAGTGTGACAGAGCCTTGTTTACCAAAGGGCATTCACTGGGTCTGGCTAGGAGGAGGCAGAGCAGCATCCTCCACCACAGCAGAAAGATTGCAGTGGAAGGGATTACAAGAGAGTAAGCAGCCACACAATGGGAAATATACCAGGTTATTTGCATAGCACACTTGCAGTTGCTAGTGCATTGCTTTCAATATGTATTTCCCATTGTGCGCTTACTCTCTTGTAATCGATCTCTGCTTTGTGAGGAGGGAAAAATAAAAAATGAGTCAGGCACAGGACAACACATACTGACTAATGGTGATCACGTGTCTGAGGAACGGTGTGAAAGTTGTAAATATGAGCATTGGTTGTAACGTTATTTTTTTCAGCATTGTTATAACTGAATGAGGCAGTAAGTGAGGACTATCTGTGTAAGTATATGCAGATGGGCTATCCATTTGTTTTACAAATCCAGTGCCTTACTTTAATTTGAATTGGCAGTAATTCATTCAATTAATATTAAATCGTTGCCCTGGCTTTTTGCCTTTGTTTTAGAGTGTGGCTAGCATATACATACACAGTGAGCTTCAAGAAAACAGGAAGAATTAATACTGAACTGAATGGCTTCACCCTGACCTTCAGCGTGGTCAGCTTTAACATGTTCCATTCTTCCATTTTCTTTGAAATGATCTGTTTTCCTTCCAGTTCTACAGAATGGACTTAAAGAAAATTTTGCAGATGTCCAGGCTTCTGTAGTGGATTGTCCTGATATGACTCAAGAACCCTTCTGTTTTCCTGTTAAAGGTAATACATGGTATCTGTGACAAAATATTACACATGTTGGCAATACCTTGGTAACATGTGGGCCACCAGGTGGACAGGGACAAAATTGCCAGGACTATTTTTGGCGGGATGGGTTTTCTTTAAAGAATGGAGTAATTTGCTGAAGCCATTTCAAGACTGGGTTATGCAAGCTAAAGAGCCCTTGTCGGATGCCTTAAAATGCTGAAAGCTCCTTTCAAAAATCCTATTTTTTCCTACTTTCGAAGGACTTCAAATTTCACAGAACAGCCCCACTTTTGTCATTCCATCACAGGGTTGCTGACCATGTCTCCCCGTGATCTTGTGTAGGTCAGAGGGATGCTATGCTAAGTGATGGTTTGCTTTAGCTATAGTTGGTTATACAAGCCACTATTGCTTGGTTCATAATACAAACCCACAATAATTGGATTAGAGGTCTACTAAACGCTGATTGCTTTATATTGTTTTGGGTTAGTCAAAAAAAATCTGGGAAAAAATTAATTCGCCCCCTTTTTTTTCTTCTTACAGGTATTTGTGGCAAGCCTAGAATAGCAGATGTGGGAGGTGTTCCATATCTTTTACCACTTGTTCAGAAAGACAAGGTAAATAAAATGTGGCCCACTTTTGCAATCATATGCAAAGGTTTTGAGATTTAGTCATTCATCCAATAACCTCCCATTTTGACCAGAAACAATAATTCCCATTTTGGGAGATTGGCATGGAATCAAATCATTTTTGCTAATATGGCAGTGATCCCAGTAAAGTCAGCCTAGTAGTCCATTTTGCACCTGTGTTAAATTGTAACCTTCTTTTAATCCTTTAAAAGAGATTTGGTTCAGATCCAATTCTGCAATTTTAAAAATGCAGATAAGTCTCAGTTAGTAGTTAATGAATCACACAAAATGGTTGCATTATTTGAATTCACACTACAGGTAGAGAGAGGACCTTGGTGCTCTCTGAGCTTGCTTGTTTTCTTGTAGGCGTTTCATTATCCAAACTAGGTAACATCATCGGTGCTAGTAATCGTGATGCACTAATCACTTTATGGATAGCACTGATGATGCTACCTAGTTTGGGTAATGAAACGTCTGCAAGAAAACAAGCAAGCTCAGAGAGCACCAAGGATCCTCCTCTTCCTTCTCCTCCTCCTTCTCCTCCCCTCCTCCTCCTCCTCCTTCTCTTCCTTCTCCTTCTCTTCCTTCTCCTCCTCCTCCTCTTCCTCCATCTTCTCTTCTCCCACTTCCTCCTAGCACTGATGATGTTACCTAGTTTGGGTAATGAAACGTCTGAAAGAAAACGAACAAGCTCAGAGATCACCGAGGACCCCTCCTCCTCCTCCTTTCTCCTCCTCCTCCTCCTTCTCTTCCTCCTCCATCTTCTCTTCCCCCGCTTCCTCCTAGCACTGATGATGTTACCTAGTTTGGATAATGGAACATCTGCAAGAAAACGAGCAAGCTCAGAGAGCACCAAGGACCCCTCATGTCAACCCTGAGTTACAAAGGTTCTCCTTTATTACTACAGGTAGTCCTTGGCTTACAACCATAATTGAGTTTGCAATTTCAGCCATAAGTCATGATGGTCATAAAGTGTCCAATTTTACAGTCTCTTTATGGTGGTCATAAGGTGAACACTGCGGTTAGTAAGCGAACCCATTGTTTTCTATAAGACTTTTTGGGGGGGGGGGCTGGAAATGAGAAGTAGATATTGGTTTTTGGCAAAAACATAAATCGTGGATCCCTTCCTGCTGAAAACAATTATGGAGGACTCCAAAAAAGCTTTTTTTGTATAGGTTATGTTTACACTTACCATATTAAAAATTAAAATTGATGCATTCACTGCAACTTCTCATGATTATTGGATGAGATTTTAATACTGCATTTCAGGGGTCTTCCAACTTGGCCCTTTTATGACTTGTGGACTTCAACTCCCAGAATTTCTCAGCCAGGCACGCTGGCGGAGGAATTCTGGGAGTTGAAGTCCACAAGTCATAAAAGGGCCAAGTTGGAAGACCCCTGCTGTAATCTTTTTCAACCTAGGATATGGCAATTCATTTTAAATTTGTGGACTCCTAAGAGCGTCTTGGGGAAGGCCTAGGAACCCTCTTTAAGAAGCACTGCCCTGGACAAGCCGATGAGCAAATGTAACCGTTCTTTTCTCATTTAGGTTTATGACCTGAACCTAATAGCAAAAGAAATACAGTTACCCGGAGCATTTTTTCTTGGTGCTGGAGCTGTTTCCTCCAGGGTAGTTGGAAGCAATGCTGAGGTAAGACAGTTGGTAGGAAAATATTAGCCTTAGTCGTGTATACTTTAAAGCAGGGCTGTTCAACCTTGGCAACGGGAAGACTTGTGGATTCCAACTTCCGGAATTCCCCAGCCAGCATAGTTGATCTCGGTACTACTCTCAATTTCTGTTCTAATTTTTGTTACAAGGATTGCACCATTAGACTATAAAATTCCCTTTAAAGTTTAGTTTACTTAATCCAGTGGTCTCCAACTTTTCTAGCTCCAAGGACCGGCAGGGGAAGGGGGGATGGTTTTGCATGTGCAACCTAGATACCGCGCATGCACACATGAAGCTTCACACGTTTGCCCGCCGTTTCCATAGCCCAGTTCCAACAGGCTGCAACCTGGGGACCCCTGACTTAATTGGGCTCAGATCTTGTTTAAATCTACTCTATTTTAGTAGACTTTTAACACCTCTGTTGTTGTTTTTTTCTGGACTTTCTCTGTGCTTAAGATGAGGCCTTAACCCCAGCTCATTCTGAGCCATAATATGTGTTAAAGGCTTTACTGAATAAACCATCATTGGGTAGGTTCATACTATATGTTAACAAATAAACCATGATTTTCAAACCGCATAGCTGACTTTCTGCAGTTGGAATAAGCTATAAACAAAATGTGCTTCTTGTTTAATACTTGTGAAATGATGGCAGACAGTGCTGATCTATTTGAAGATGTTTATCTGTTTCTATCTAGTTTGTCCCAATTGTTCAAGCTGAAAAGGAAGAAAGGGCAGCAATCAATGGAAGTTACTTAGCCAAGATCAACCCTGAGGATGGTAGCTGTCTGCTCCAAAAATACAGCTCCTTATATAATGATTGTGAATTTGGGCTGCTGGCTAACCTATATGCAAGTGAAGGCCTTCCTGGAAAGGTACGTGGCTCAGTCAGCTTTTAAAAATAACTTTTTACAAACAAAACATCCAGGCAAGGACTACCAAAAAACCCCAAAACCCGATTAAAAGACACAAAATTAAAAAAACTAACAAGCCCAAACAAACAAACTTCTACATGGGAACATGCTTTGCTTTGTTTTGTTTTGCTTCATTTTATTGACTAATTTCTATAGCCACACATACAGTATTACCAATGGAATTTCTGGTGTTAAACACATATATTTACAGCTAGTCCTCAAGGTACACCAATAATCGAGCCCAGAATTACAGTCATAAATTATGCCGGCTGTTAAGTGGGTTATCAAATAACCAACCTGATTTTACAACTTTTTTTTTGCAGTGTTTCTTAAGCAAACCCATATTTGTAATGGGCTTTTTTTTTTTTGCCAGAAACCAGAAGTAAACACTTTATTGTTGCGAAGTAGTGTCCGACCCAACGTGACCCCATGGACAACGTTCCTCCAGGCCTTCCTGTTCTTTACCATCTTCCCAGATCAACTTTCTCAACTTTTTCTGAGAGGAATAACTCAATCTATGGGCTCCTGGCCTTGTATTTTTAATGTGGGAATAATGATTTTGACCATTAGAATTGTCAGGTGGAGATTATGGACACAAAATGTTTTAAGTAAGGAGCATTAAGTGTGTCATAATGAAATCTTAGAAGTGTATTGCTCTGAACTCACATTACATTACAGACTTTTCTCTGCTTAACAAAGCAATAATATATCTTCTTTTTTAAGGTCATTGAAGTCCGAGCAAAGAGGAGAATTGGTGAGCAGAATTTCATATCCTGCATAAGGAAAGCCTTGGATAAGCATTATGGTGACAAAACAGTTGGGATGGGAGGTACTTTCATTATCCAGAAAGGAAACGCAAAACTTCATATTATGGTAAGTCGATTATGAAAAGAAGTTTTTCCATTTTTCTTTGGGAAATATGCATCACACAACAAGAAGAAAAAAAGTAAACTCTAAATTTCTGTAAATATTTGCAAACTTCCTTTTTTATTGTGGGCTATCAAGTAGTAGGTGTCAGTTCTTAGTGTTTACACAGACATCTTCTCCAAGGTAATGTGTCCATAACCTGGTCCATCATTGTAATTAAGTCCATCTGCCTTTCTGCTGTTCATCTCTTTCCTTCTACTTTTCTGGCATTAGAGCTTTCTCTAGAACAGGGGTGTCAAATTGCCGGCCCACAGGCCGGTTGCATCATACGGATGCCGCGCCCATCCGAGCTCCGGCAGTGCGAAAAAAGTCGTGACATGTCACGTGACGCAGCGAGTTTGACACCTGTGCTCTAGAGAATAGGACTTTGCATAATTTCAAACAATGATAATTTGAGCCTGATTATTTATGCTTCAAGTGAAAACTCTGGATTGTTCAATGATCCATTAGTTTCTTTTCTTGGAAATCCATGGTTTTCTCAAGAGTCTTATTATATATAGCAGTATTCCAGTATTTGAGAGGCTGTCACAAAGAAGAGGGAGTCAAAATATTCTCCAAGGCAGCAGAGGGCAGGACAAGAAACAATGGTTGGAAACTGATCAAAGAGAGAAGCAACCTGGAATTAAGGAGTAAGATCCTAACAGTGAGGACAATTAACCAGTGGAACAGCTTGCCTCCAGAAATCATGGGTGCTCCATCACTGGAGGTTTTTAAGAAGAGACTGGACAGTCACTTGTCTGAGATGGTGTAGGTTCTCCTGCTTGAGCGGGGGGCTGGACCAGAAGACCTCCGAGGTCCCTTCCAGCTCTATTCTATTCTAATATTTTTTTTATTATCTGCCAATAGTGATATAAACTTTACAAGTAGTCTTTCAAATACTAGTCAAAGAAGGTCTGTTTAGCTTTGCAGTGTTCATGTCATCTTGGCCTTAGATTTTGTAGGGACTGGTTCATATACTCTTTTTTGCAAGTCCTTTTAAACCAGAGGTCCCCAATCTTTTGGGCACCAGGGACCGGTTCCATGGAGAGAGGTTTTTCTGCATACCGGAGGGGGCGTGGTTTTGTGTGTTTCCTGCATCCTGCGGATGGGGATTTGCTTGTTTGTGCGGCCCAGTTGCTGGCATGCCGCGGCCCAGTACTGGTCCACGGACCAGGGTTGGGGATCCCTGTTCTAAACCACTAATGGTTGAATAGTAAATATCCCCTTGTGTAATTCCAGCTAGCAGGCATTTGTGGTTGAAATGCACCACGTAGAATGATGATACTTCAAACTGAGGCACATTTAAATGCACATGTAATAAATCAGGTGATTTGGATTTAGCACATTGTCTAAATAACATGATTTACAAACTATGGTTAGAGCTTCCATTTGTAGTAAAGACATGCATTAACCTATTGGAGCTGCTATTGATTTCTGCTCTGTTAAAGTTAGCATGTTAAAACTAAAAGAAAAAAAACCTAAAGCTAAAATGCTAAAACTAAAAATGTGATTGCTAACTATCTATTGTCAAGGCTAATGAAGAACGGAACTTGCAAACATGGCCAGCAATGCAAAGCCATAATAGCTTGTTTATGTTGGCCAGTTACATATTGACACAGATACAGTAGATTAGTTGTTAGCTGTTTGCACAATATACTAAATTCGGTTAGTTCAACTTTAGTTGGTTTTCTCTGTAGCTCAATATGTGTTGTTATTTGCGAAGTTGTGTCCGACCCATCGCAACCCCATAGATAACGTTCTTCCAGGCCTTCCTGTCCTCTACCATCTTCTGGAGTCCATTTAAGCTCATGCCTACTGCTTCAGTGACTCCATCCAGCCACCTCATTCTCTGTCGTCCCCTTCTTCTATTGCCTTCAATCTTTCCCAGCATCAGGCTCTTCTCCAGTGAGTCCTTCCTTCTCATTAGGTGGCCAAAGTACTTGAGTTTCAACTTCAGGATCTGGCCTTCTAAAGAAGCAACAGTGAGAACTGGACACGGAACCACAGATTGGTTCAAAATTGGGAAAAGAGTCCGGCAAGGCTGTATTCTGTCGCCCTGCCTATTTAACTTATATGCAGAGCACATCATGAGAAAGGCAAGGCTAGATGAATCAAAAGTTGGAATTAAGATTGCCAGGAGAAATATCAACAACCTAAGATATGCAGATGATACCACTCTAATGGCAGAAAGTGAAGAGGAACTAAAGAGCCTCTTGATGCGGGTAAAGAAGGAGAGTGCAAAAGTTGGCTTGAAACTCAACATTAAGAAAACCAAGATCATGGCATCCGACCCTCAGCTCAATATGTAGGACCTACTTAGTGTTAATTTATATGCATAGTTCATTGTATTATTTTATTCGTTCAATTGTATTATGCAAAGAGAAAGAAGGTTCCGTATAGAACTTAAGCATGTTGTGCAAACTTAACCATTAAGTAAGATTACTGGTTCATTTTGTCCATTATTTTTGACACTGTGTAAAGCCAACAAATGGGATGAATTCCATAAATTATGATTAAATGTGATACACGAACACCGTCCTTGATTGGCAGGAATTTCCCAAAATTTCAGATATGGGTCTTTCTTGCTGAAATTTGGAAAAGGTAGATTAGCAAACTTTCACATTCAAAACAGCCAATAAGGCTGTCATTGAGCTACTTAACTCTTGTCCCAATTTTGATGGACAGTTGAAAGTTGTTTGTGTGGCTGGAGAATTTTCTGGCTTACATTTCAAAAAGAGTTGAAATACTAGCAGAGATGCAGAATTGTGTCAAAGCAAAACTCGTGCCATGTTTGTATATGGAAGAAACAGACCTTCATAACTTCAGTTCCTGTGTTGTTTCTTTATTCAAGTGCAGTCACTTTTTTTTATTTAATTACAGCCCTCTGAATTTTCTGCCTGCCCTTTGGAAACGGACGAGAAAGTGAACAATTGGCTGAAGTTTTTTGAAATGAAAGCTCCACTCATTTGCCAGCCTGTAATCGTTTCCCAAGATCCAGTAAGTCAAGTCTACTGATGTTTCTCAAGTGAAAAACCCAACATATACTGGGTTGGATGCAAAGTGATCATTATTTGAAGTCATCATTAATTCCTCATGAACTGAATTCTGTAACATGCACCAAAGGCTTAGGAAAGGATACAGTGAAAACCAGTTTGATGTAGTACTGGGGTAGGCAATCTTGGCTCTTTTATGACTCGTGGACTTCAACTCCCAGAATTCCCGAGCCAGCATGGCTCAGCTTGGAAACCTCTCCCTTTCCCCTCAGCATGGCTGGCTCAGGAATTCTGGGAGTTGAAGTCCATGAATCATAAAAGAGCCAAGGTTGCCTACCCCTGGTAGTGGTTAAGGTGCTGGCCTAGAAACCAGGAGGCTGTGAGTTCTAGTCCCACATCAGGCATGAAAGCTGACTGGGTGACCGTGGGTCAGTCTCTCAGTCCAACCCACTTCACAGGTGACAAAAATAGGAAGGAGTATTATGTAAATTCCCCATCTTCAGTTATTTATACCTGTATTGGTATAAATGCAGCTTATATTTTGGGTGAGATATGTCATGTATCTCACCCAAAATACACAAGGAGTCCTCATTTAGCTACCACTATTGAGTGGCAATTTGGTTATTAAGTAAAGCAGTCGCTGTGAAGCCAGGATTATACTTATGATCTTATTTCAGCTTTCCTTTGCTTGTGAAACTTGTCAGAAATTTACTTTTTAATTATTGTCATAACTGAACAGTAGCTAAACGAGACAGTTGCTAAACGAGGACTGCCAAAATAACACAGCCTTGTATGTGATGTGCCTGAACTGAAAGGAAATGTTTGCTGCTTGGGCAGGAATTTATGGGTTCTTGACTTTTTCCCAGGGTTTTGACCTGCGTGTGGAGCACACCCACTGTTTCAGCCACCACGGCGAAGGAGGCCACTACCATATGGACACAACGCCAGAGACTGTAGAATATCTGGGGTATTTTGTGCTTGCAGAGTTCCTCTTTCGGATCGACAGACCAAAGGAGACTCATATGGTGGGCCGGGATTAAAGTCTAACCCGCCCAAGAAGCTGGAATTAATTAAGGAGCAGAAAATCAAGAGATGACTAAATCTGCTTTTCAGTGAGGTCAACTAATGTCGAATCACAACCTGAATTATTTGTTTGGCACTTAAAAATAAAATATGGCAAAACTGATTTTTTTCAGATTGGAAATGTAGCACATTCTGGCTGATTGCAAAACAAAACTACAGGAGCCCAATTTTCACTGAAATATTTACATTTTAGATCATTTGGCTCCCCTTCTTTCTGTCCTTAGCATCTAGATTTCGGCTGCAATCTGGGTGGGGATTCTATGCCTAGCGGCCCTAGCCCAAGATGGCTGAAGTACAATTTCTGTCATCTGTCACTGCATTACATCAGAGAAAGGAAATCCTTCAGAGAGCATAGCCCTCAATGAGCAAAGGGGTTAATTGCATAACTTGGCCCTTCTGCTCTCTGCTGCACCCTTGTGACAGAGAGGCAACACCTGTGTTGGCCAAGATCCCTTCCCCTTGTTTAGGAGAATTCTGAGTTTAGTTATCTATATTAATCAGAATAGAGCTGAAATGGATCTTGGAGGTCATCTAGTCCAAACCGCCTGCTCAAGCAGGAGACCCTATAGGGGCTGATCCTAGCAGGAGAATTTCCACATGGGACGTCACTGTCTGATGTGCATCTTACCAGCCACTACTAATTCCCATTTAAGTTCAAAGGGCAATAGTTGCGAGTAGCTTAATTCAGCGGCCTTGTTTGTGAATAGTTCTAGAATGACACTACTGGTGGTCCTCATCTTACGACCACAGTTGAACCAAAAAATAATTAGTAAAATTAGTAAATGAGACATTTGTAAAGTGAGTTTTGCCCCCATTTTACAACCTTTCTGCCACTGTTGTTAAGTGAATCACTGGAGTTAAGTTATTAATAATAATGAGAAACTTCCTAACTGTGAGGACAATTAACCAGTGGAACAGCTTGCCTCCAGAAGTTGTAGGTGCTCCATTGCTGGAGGTTTTTTAAGAAGAGACTGGACAGCCACCTGTCTGAAATGGGGGAGGGGGGTTTGGACTAAAAGACCTCCAAGGTCCCTTCCAGCTATATTCTGATTGAGATTAGGGTTGCCAGGTCTGCTTCCCAAAAATAGCGGACAAGCGAGGGGGGGGGGAGGGTTAAGTAGTAAAAAAAGTAGACTGTACAGCTTTAGATTACGTACCATTTCATCATAAAGCTTTTGAATAAAAAAAATGTCCACTATTTTGTGAAAAAAAATAGTGAACATAATGTGAAAAAAGCGGACTGTCTGCTCAAATAGTGGACACCTGGCAACCCTAATTGAGATGAAGATTAGTAACATGGTTAAGTAACGTTGGCTTCTCCATTGTCTTTGCTAGTCAGAAGAGGTGATCACATGACCCCATCACATGACTGCAACGGTCGTAAATATGAGTCAGATGTCAAGCATCTGAGTTTTGATCACGTGACCATGGGGATGCCACAATGGTGGTGGGTGTGAAAAATGGTTATAAGTCCCCTTTTTCAGTGCCATTGTCACTTCGAATGGTCACTGAATGAACATTTAGTTTCGACGGCACTGAAAAAAATGGGACTTATGACCGTTTTCACGCTAATGACCGTTGTGGCGTCCCCATGGTAAACCGAGGACTACTTGTGTGTTATTCCGCGCGCGCACTCCGCCTCCTGCCCGCGGAACTCCGAGCATCTCCGCCTTCTCCTGCTGACCGCTAGGGGCCGCCGGTGCGCTCCCTCGGAATCGCGGTTTTCTGCTTGTCCCACTGCGGCCCCTGTAGTTTCTTTTGCGCATGCTCCAGCCGGGGTGGGTGTTAGGGGGTGCTGCGAGCCGCCGAGGGGGGGGAAAGATGTCGGGGCTTCAGGCGGTGCGGATCAGCATCGAGTCGGCCTGCGAGAAGCATGTGCAGGAGGTGGGCCTCGACGGGAGTGAGACGTACCTGCAGCCGCTGTCCATGTCGCAGAACCTGGCCCGCCTGGCGCAGCGCATCGATTTCAGCCAAGGCAGCTCCGGTTCCGAAGAGGACGAGCCCGCACCGGCCGGCGAGAGTCGCGAATGGCCCGGCGGGGAGGAGGAGGAGGAGGAAGAAGGTGAGGGGAGCGGGGAGAGAAGCAAGAAAGCCTTCCCGAAGGGGATGGAAAGAGGCCCCCTCAGCAAGGAAGCTCAGCAGGGTTGAAATCCGGTCAATACTTGGATGGGAGACCACCAGGAGATCCCAAGGCTGAGAGATTGGGGGGGGAGGGGAAACCCACCATAACTCCCCAAGAACATTGCATGGAGACTCTCAGCGAGGCCGTCCTGGCTTGAAAGCAGATGTTCCAATGAATAGACTAGAGCTGGAAGGGACCTTGGAGGTCTTCTAGTCCAGCCCCCTGTTCAAGAAGGAGAACCTACATCATTCCAGACAAGTGACTTGTCTAGTCTCTTCTTTAAAATCTCCAGTGATGGAGCGCCCACGATTTCTGGAGGCAAGCGGTTCCACTGGTTGATTGTCCTCACTGTCAGGAAGTTTCTCCTTAATTATCCCCCAATGTCAATGTTGTCATTTCTATTCATTGTTTTTCTTTTGTTGGTTTTCACTCCCATACTTGCCAGCCAAAGTCACAATTGTGAGATTGTGAGCAGCTCTATAAATCAATACATTAAGTAAATAAAAACAATTGGACCTTATCTTTGAAGATGCTTCAGATGCCTGCCCTAGCATATTGAATTGTGATAGGACCTTTCCCACTGCTTCAGCCCTTTCTTCCTGATAAGCCACAGGTGTGATGATCCACCCTGTTTACTCGGTGACCCTTTATTTCCCCCCCTCCCCTGTCAGGATCCATAGGATCAAGTATCATCCTTCATGCTTATGCACGTTAACTTACACAAGCACAGCTGCTGACCTCCAATCAGAATAACAGTTGGAAGGGACCTCGGAGGTCTTCTAGTCCAACCCCGTTCAAGCAGGAGACCCTATACCATTTCAGACAAGTGGCTATCCAGTTTCTTCTTAAAAGCCTCCAGTGATGAAGCACCTACCACTTCTGAAGGCCAGCTCTTCCACTAGTTAATGGTTCTCGATGATAGGAAATTCCTCCTTAGTTCCAGATTGCTTCTCTCCTTGATTAGTTTCCATCCGTTGCTTCTTGTCCTGCCCTCAGGTGCTTTGGAGAATAACGTGACCCCCTCTTCCTTGTGGCAGCCCCTCAAATACTGGAACACTGTTATCATGCCTGCCTCAATTTCGTTTAGTTTTCAGATATTTTTTTTTTTGTCACTCAGCTCCCAGATGACTCTGGGCGGTTTTACAAAGTGAACACAGAGCAAAATACAAAAGGAAGGCTATGCAGCCTAAAGCAACACCACCAACTTTGGAGGTGAGGGTGGGGATAGGAGCCCCCCCCAAAACACCACATTTTACCCACTACCTAAAGAGAACCGTTTTAGGTAGGTTTAAGTACAGTTGCTTTAATCCTGATCTGAGGATGGACGGCCTAGGTTGACTTTTAGAGCTGCCCCAAGGGAGTCTTTTTGGAGGAGCTGGGATTCTGCCTGGGTGATTAGGAGATGGACCTCTGTGTGTGTGTGTGTGTGTGTGTGCATGTTGCTGGATAACATGGTTGTTAATACAGTGCAATCCTAAATTTATTCACAAATAAGACCATTGAATTAAAATATTTGCAACCATTGCCTGATGATATGCAAGTTCTGAGGTTTTGCTTGATAAAAAATACAGGAAACCAGAAGTTGCCTTCAAGAGTTACGTGTTTATTCANAGAAAGAGAAAAGCTCCAAATATCAAAAAAGCCTTATTTTTATACCCACTTTGATTACATAAGCAATTCATCCAGCAAAGTTGACACACATAAGATAGAGATTTCACCCTTTAAGGCTGGCACACTGTAGATAAGAAGGAAGAAAGCAGAAGTAGCTAATATGTTTCCTTTTGGGTGGTTTGGGTGTTCCCCCAAGGCACCACATGTTCCCGGGTGGATTAGAATATTGGGTGTTTCCTTTGCTGTCCTTTCATGACCTCGCAATCATGGGTCTGCAAGTGGCCAGAGAGAGTGGGGCCATCTGCACGTATTCACTGTCCCCTAAGTCCGGGTCAACACTCATACTGTCCAAGGGAGTACAAAATGGAGTTCAAAGGAGTTACAAAGATCATTTAGTGCAACCTTTTCCACGGTGCAGAAAAACACGGCATTAACACATTCTGGGGCATCCGTTCTGTATCTCTGTCCATTCCACTTTTGTATAATCCAGGTGTATTGAGTCCCATTGTTCGTATGTGTGATCTGCATGAATATCCTTGACTGTGTGTGTAGTTAAGTCAGTGTCGACTCTTGGTGGCCACATACATTTTCTCCGTGATGATCTGTCCCTAACCTGGTCCTTCAGGTCTTCCAACAGCGCCCCCATTGCCAGTATAAAAGGAAAGGACAATCTTTTTAAGGAATTCTCTTTGGGTTTGCTGTTGGATTGTTTTTTAATCACCTTTGCCTTTGAGAAGCAAAGAAGGGATAGCAATTCCAGAGCTTTTCATACTACAAAGTTATACAGATAATCCTCAATTTAGAACCACAAGTGAGCCCAACATTTCTTTTGCTAAGTGAGACAGATGTTAAGTGGCTTTTGTCCCATTTTTCAACCTTCCTTGCTATAGTGCAGGGGTGTCAAATTGCCGGCCCACGGACCGGACGCACCACAAGGAAACCACGCCCACCCTGTTGCCAGCAATGGGGAAAAAGCTCCAATACGTCGCACGACGTCACGAGTTTGACATGTCTGCTATAGTGAATCACTGAAGCTATTAAATTTGTAACACAGTTTGTTAAGTGAATCTGGCTTCCCCATTGATTTTGTGTGTCAGAAGGTCACAAAAGGTGATCACATGACTCCTGGACACAGCAACCGTGATAAATACACGTCGTTGCCGAGCGTCCAAATTTTGATCGTGTGATCATGGGAATGCTGCAGTGGTGGTGTGAAAAATAGTCACAAGTCACTTCTTACAGTGTTGTTGTAACTTCAACTGGTCACTAAATGAACTATTGTAAATCGAGGACCACCTGTGATAGGATTGATTTAAGAAAGTTCCAATAGTAGTTTACTCTTGTTTTCCTCCTGTGCTTATGTTTTTCAGGCCTGATAAAATTTCAGCCTTCTCTGTGGCCTTGGGATTCAGTACGGAATAACATAAGGAGTGCTTTGACAGAGATGTGTGTGCTTTACGACGTCCTCAGCATAGTCAAAGATAAAAAGTTTATGACTCTAGACCCAGTTGTACAAGAATCACTTTCCCAAAAGCAGGTATTAGGCATAATTTCTCTTTATTCTGTTCAAATATTTGTTCCAAGTTTCTTATCTTGGCTTGTAAAGAGTTTGCCCAGGGCTTTGGCAAGGGTGGATGAAGCCTATGTAGATTTATTTGGTTGGTTTCTGTCCACTTTTTTTGTCACATTTCCCATATTCATTATTGTTTATTGAAGGGGTGGGTCCTGGTTTTAATACTTTTTATCTGTAGTCACCCAGAGCCATCGGGACTCAGGTAGCATATACATTTAAATAGTACAACTGTACTATAATTATTATGATATCAATAAACGATGATCTTCACTCTAAATATATCCTAATTCAGGGTTGGATAATTTTTGTGCTTTTGTGTCTGGGGACAATAAATGCCACAACCATTATCCATGGTGGTTGCATGTGATGGTCATAAACATCTGGAGGCATCTGATTTCATATTGCTGTATTAAATAAATGAGGTCAGATTACTTCAGCCACTCGCATTAACGATGGGAGCAAATGTAGAAATATCCTTTCCGTCTATTATCTGACAGAGAAGATTGCATTTAAATTGATTTTGGTTTTTTCTTCATTTCTAGAATCCTCAGGTTTTGCAGCTGCTCTCCAAGAAAAAGTACTTAGCTGGAGCAGCCCAGATTCTTCTGAAAGGAGCAGAAAGGTTGACTAAATCAGTTGCTGAAAACCAAGAAAATAAGCGGCAAAGAGATTTCAACTCAGAATTGCTCAGGTTGAGGCAGCATTGGAAGCTGAGGAAAGTGGGAGATAAAATCCTTGGAGATTTGAGCTACAAGAGTGCAGGTGAAGCCAGGAGGGCATAACTTCTGTACTGTTATTTACACTACTAGACAACCATTTGGACAATCAGTTGGACATTATTTGACAACCATTTGTCTGAAGTGACATATAGGGTTTCCTGCCTGAGCAGGGGGCTGGACTAGAAGACCTCCAAGGTCCCTTCCAACTCTGTTATTATTTATATATATACAGCTAGTCCTTGACTTACCTTGGCCACAATTAAGCCCAAAATTTCTAGGACAACAGATGCTAAGTGAGTTTTGCCCCATTTTATGACCTTTTTTGCCCCAGTTGTTAAGTGAATCGCTGCAGTTGTTAAATAAGTAACATGATTGTTAAGTGTATCTGGCTTCCCCCATGACTTGGCTTGTCACACAGTTACAAAAGGTGATCACATGACTTGGGGAAACAGCAGCCGTCATAAATATGAGTCAGTTGCCAACCGTCTGAAATTTGATCACATGACTATGGAGATCCTGCAGTGGTCATTAGTGTGAAAAATGGGTCACATTTTTCAGGGCCACTGTAACTTTGAATGATCACTAAATGAACTGTTTTTAAGTGGAAAACTGCCTGTACGTATCATAGATATTGGGTAACTGTTGATGGAGATAATGTGGATGCGTGCCATGAAAAAAATATTTTTAAATTCAGCTTTATCATAATATAAATGATGAAGAAAGTAGGAACCAGTATGTTTTGCTCGATTAATAACTCCTTGTCCCTTTAGAGATTAGATGGAGTTGCTTTAATCCAAGACAATTTTCTTTGAAGTGGTATTTGATAAGATAAGATAAGATAACCTTTATTGTCATTTTTTTACTGGGCACAATGGCACACGTCAAAAAATGAAATTTAGTTGCCCGTTCTCAAAGTGAAACACATACATGACACATACCTAAAACATACCAAATACAACATATGTATACAAAACACGCCTATTATGTCTACAGTCTATGCACACAGGGAAAGGGGCAAACATGTACGGGATATTTCAGATCTCTGTAATGTAAAATATAAAGCACTGTTGCAACTTCTCTTGTTTATAAAGGGTCTCTCTTTCCTCATCATGGCACATTTGAGGTCATAAAAAACACAGACATTGATCTGGATAAAAAGATTCCTGATGATTACTGCCCTCTAGCTGTTCAAATTCCAAGTGATTTGGAAGGTTCTGCCTATATTAAGGTTTGTCAAGATTATTTGTTTATGCATTGATTTGATTAAAATGCCTAGGGGAAAAAAACAGAATCTAACATTGTTTGTTTTTTTTAACATTTAGGTATCTATTCAGAAACAAGCACCAGATATAGGGGACCTTGGGATAGTCAATCTGTTTAAAAAACCTATTTTGAAATCTAAGCCAGGTATTGTTTCAGAATGTAAATTGTTATATTTCAGAGAAGCATACACGTTTGCATAAACAGAGCAGTTCATTTTCTATTTTTTTACTGATTTGTAAATAACGATTCTCTTATTCAGGGGCTCTGCACTGGCAAACAAAACTGGAGACCGCACAGAACGTTCTGTTATGTAAAGAAATATTTGCTCAGCTTTCTCGGGAAGCCGTGCAAATCAAATCACAAATCCCTCACATTGTTGTGAAGAACCAAATCATTTCCCAGCCCTTCCCAGGTAAGATTTAAGACAGTATTAAAAAGCTGAATTTGATCCACTTGTTTGTTTGAATGAATAGACAGGATTCCATTTGAAATGCATTTGAAGCATTTTATTTGGTTCAAATTTATGTCCATTATTCTGGCTCCTCAACATTACTGTTTCTATCCATGTAGACAGGGATGACTCAGATACATGACATGGACTGAACTTAACCAAACTATTGATCCTTCCTTCCTTCCTTCCTTCCTTCCTTCCTTCCTTCCTTCCTTCCTTCCTTCCTTCCTTCCTTCCTTCCTTCCTTTCTTCCTTCCTTCCTTCCTTCCTTCCTTCCTTCCTTCCTTCCTACCTACCTACCTACCTACCTACCTACCTACCTACCTACGTACACCCTAATATTTAAGAAATCAGTTATTTCTTATAGACAACCAGAATGTAATAACACTCCAAGATGCAGTTCACAGACATGCGTACACATTTTTGCATTTCATTTTGTAGGATTGCAGCTCTGCATTTCCTTGTGTCACTCCTCAGAAGACAAGAAATCCCAGAAATCTACTTCTGAGAAACAGGGTCCAGAGGATCATCTTTACGTTCTGGAGCATAATCTGCACCAACTGATCAGAGAGGTAAAGAACTTTACTACAGCCGAGTTTGGCTTCAGATTCTCCCTTTTTCACTGAATGTTGTGAGGCTTTTAGGAGTATAAAAGTTTCGTGTTCAACACATTCCCCAAAATGGAACCTCTTGCAGATGCTGAACACGGCATGACTTACAAGCAGCCTGTGTTTATCTCAGCTATGAGATTGGACGTGGAAAGATGGATATGTGTGGCTGCACCTTAGGCCTATCTGTCTCTTTAAGGACCCCACCATGGAAGGCATTATGAGCTGGCCCTTTAAAAAGAGCTTGACTACAACCGAGTGCATAATGAACATAGGAAGATCCCAAAAGAGACCCAGAAGTAGAGTGGCAGATTTTAAAATGGGGAGTTGAAGAACATCGACATAGCTGAGTGTTTAGTCAAGTCCTCGGCGGTGATCCGAGGACAGTGAGAGCAATTGAGCAGCCCAGAGAACCAACGTTGGGGAGAAGCCAAAGTTGCTGGTCCTGAGAGCAGCCCGGGGTATTTGCAGTGCAGAACGTTCCATTATGTGGGGACAAAGAACCACATAGAGCAGTGGTTCTCAACCTTTTTATGCTGCGACCCCCAACCGGTCTTAAGTCGAGGACTAAACCGGTCTTAAATCGAGGACTAAACTGGTCGTAAGTCGAGGACTAAACCGGTCGTAAGTCGAGGATTACCCAACCGGTCGTAAGTCGAGGACTTTCCCTGTCCGGGAGCGCCGCGCATCTGTGGTTCCGCCCCCTGCACCGGCCGAGGCGTAGCTGGCAAGCGGCAGAGACGGAGCAGGCCGACCACCAGCTGGCCCAGCCCAAGGGAGGTAAGGCACCCGCCGGAAAAGGGGAAAAAAATGGCGGACAGCCTTGCTTGGCGACCCCTGTGAAATGGTCGATCGACCCCAAATGGGGTCGCGACCCATAGGTTGAGAACCGCTGGACTAATGGAACACTTCAAGGAAATTCCAGGCATATTTATTCTGAAAAAGTCTGTAATCATGGACACATTATCGGCACATATTGAATGGGTGCCAGAATCTGAATTTCTCTTGCTTGCGTCTAACTTTTCTTGCTAAACCCCTCCCTTATTTTGCAGTCATAAGTCACATCTTCCAATTAGCCCGGAGGGCAAAGATTCACTTGCTTTCCTTATCAATCTCCTCCCTTTCTCTGTCATCTGAATTAACTCTAAAAATACCAGACAGTTCTGTATATCTTGTCAAAGCAATAATATCCCACATTAACAGCGTTGACACATGAAATATTTTGCACGTACAGGGAGTCCTCGATTTATGACCGCAACGGAACCTGGAATTTCCATCGTAAATCATGACAACAGTAAGTCAAGGCATCCCCTTGACTAGGCCCAATTTTGATGACGTTTATTGTGGCAGTCATTAAGTAAAACCTGTGGGTCATCGAGAGAAAGCTGCTGTAACTCTTTGATGGCGACAAGAAAGTTCGTAAAATGGGACAAAACTCACAACGTGTCTTTTTCCTCCCAGTTTCACAAGCAGACCCTGAGCAGCAACATGATGCCTCATCCGGCGAGTGCGCCTTTCGGCCACAAAAGAATGAGACTGGCAGGACCTCAGGCTTTTGATAAGAATGAAATCAGCTCCTTGCAGCCCAGCGAGGGGCTGCTGGAGAAGATCATCAAGCAGGCAAAGCACATCTTTCTGAGACGCGCGTAAGTAGCCACCTACGTGCGGCGTGTTCCCTTGTAACTAATAGCGATCTGCTCTTTCCTACGTAGTCGAATCAGTGCCCATTTCTTGTATTCCTTTATTGTTGAAAGGTAGTCCTCAACTTAACAACCATAATGGAATCCAAAATTTCGGTTGCTCAGCAAGGCAGTTCTTTTCACCCCATTTTATGACCTTTTTGCCACAGTTGTTAAGCAAAAACTCTGCTGTTCTTAAGTGAACCATTGACTTTGCTTGTCAGAAGCTGGCTGGGAAGGTTGAAAAATGGTGGTTGTTAAGTGAATCGTGGTCATTCAGCAAAACGTGCTTCCCCCCCCCCCCTTGAATCTGCTTGTTGGGAAGGTTACAAACGGTGGTCACGTGACCCCAGGACAATGCAGCTGTCACAAATACATGCCAGTTGCCAAGTGACCAAATTTTGATCACGTGACCCTGGGGAGGGTGCCATGGCCGTAGGTGTGAAAACCGGTCATATATCACTTTTTTTTAATGCCGTTGTAACTTCAAATGGTCATAAAATGAATGGTTGTAAGTCAAGGACTATATGTATACATGCCAAAGCTAGCGAATGCCATGAAGTATTTAGCATTCAAAGGTACAACGTCCTAACATCAATTAGGAAGCAAATGCACTTAGTATAAAGGAATGGCAGTTTTGATGGCCTTGCAGGATGCTTCTAAATCAGTTTCTCAACCTTGGCCATTTGAAGCGGCGTGGACTTCAACTCCCAGAATTCCCCAGCCTTGTTCTGAACTACAACTCTACGATGGGATTTTATATCATTTTAGAACCGCTCGAACAATTGACAGTCTTGCCAGCAGAATCGAGGATCCCCAGATCCAAGCCCACTGGTCCAACATCAACGACGTGTACGAGTCGAGCGTCAAGGTTCTCATCACATCCCAGGGTTATGAGCAGATATGCAAGTAAGCGTAAAAACAGGGACCACATTTATGCCTTGCCTTCTTTTAGCAGAAAAATCACAGGTAATCTTCGACACGATGGCCTTAACGGAGCCTGCCCATTGCAGTTGTATGTTGTGGCAATTGTAAAACAGATCTGTCATGTGACCAGTCCTGATTTTTACAACATTTTTCACAACAGTTATTAAGGGAGCCAGTGGTTCTCTATTGGTGTGGTTTAGCCTAAAACCAGAAGTGAGCGCTGGGGGTTTTGGAAAACCATCGTAAAACAGTCATGTGACCATCTTGTTGTTGCAAACGGCAGTAAATGCAGCTATGTCGTCAAGTTCGGTCCCATAACTGTGGAGGAGGCCCAACTATTAAGAGCTTCGGAACTAGGCTGTAACTAGCCCCAAGGTAGATCTGTCGTAACTTTGAACCGTCATTAAGCAACCAGTTGTAAGTCGAGGACTACCTGTGTTGGACATTCTTATAGTTTCTCAGTTGGGGTGGAATCTGGAAATGTGACTATCCAGATTCCACCCCAACTGGGACCAGCTCATTTCACAGCTTCCTGAGCTAGTTTAAAAAAGATGTAAAAAAGATGTTGAAACTCTAGAAAGAGTACAGAGAAGAGCAACAAAGATGATTAGGGGACTGGAGGCTAAAACATATAAGGAATGGTTGCTGGAATTGGGTATGTCTAGTTTAATGAAGAGAAGGACGAGGGGGGACATGATAGCAGAGTTCCAATATCTCAGGGGCTGCCACAAAGAAGAGGGAATGAAGCTATTTTCCAAGGCACCTGAAGGCAGGACAAGAAGCAACGGATGGAAACTGATCAAGGAGAGAAGCAACCTAGAACTAAGGAGAAACTTCCTGATAGTTAGAACAATTAACCAGTGGAACAACCTGCCTCCAGAAGCTGTGAATGCTCCAAGACTGGAAGTTTTTAAGAAGAGACTGGACAGCCATTTGTCCGAAATGGTATAGGGTTACCTGCCTGAGCAGGGGGTTGGACTTGATGACCTCCAAGGTCCCTTCCAACTTTTTTTTTTTTATTATTATTATTATTATTATTATTATTATTATTATTATTATTATTATTATTATTATTATTATTATTATAGTGGAAATTCAGCTGATGATAGCAAGTGGCAGTGATTGCAGTCCATTGTGGGATATCTTGTCTCATAAAGCAGAAGTGACTGTTTGGGAAAAGCAGTTTTATTCCATCAGGGTTTTGCCTACTAGCTAGCTAGCATTTCTTGTTTTTACGTCACGTTTATGCCTGAGCTGTGTGCTTGGTCACTCTTGCGTTTTTATTATTCTTTATTTCTCTATGCTTTTACATAGCAGTAAGGCTCTCAATAATGCATTGACACTAATACGGTGGGATAAAAATTCCCATGTGAGAAGCATTCATTTGCTAGCTAGTATTGCAAATTGCTTTTATTATGGAGACGAAAACAATTTGCAATACTAGCTAGCAAATGAATGCTGCTCACATGGAAATTTTTATCCCACTGTATTAGCGTTTGACTATGTTTGACTTAATTTCACTTTGATTTAAAGATAATTATGCTTAAAGGAACACTTTTTATTACAGAGCAAGGTAATTTGTTTTGACTTTAGCACTCTGTAATACAACACTTGTAATGATATCTTGTGATTTTTCAAAGGTCTATTCAACTGCAATTGAATATTAGCATTGAACAGATCAGAGTAGTACACAGAGATGGAAGAGTGATCACACTGTCCCATCAAGAGCAAGAATTACAAGATTTTCTTCTTTCTCAGGTAAAAAGCGAAAAAAATTTCCCCCTTGTTTGCGTGGACCCGTTTTTTGTTTTTTTTTACTAGAACTGACTTACTAAGATAGCAAAGTCTTCATTCCATTATTATTGTAAAGGAGATTAATTAAAATGCCAACAGTTAAAGAGGTTAACTAAACTACCAAGAATTATGTTAGCATAGCTCATAAAGTAAGTGATTGGTATTTTGAGAGAATGTAACAGAAGCTAAAAAAAATAAAACAGCTAAAACTTTTTTTTCTTTTTTTAAAATAATTCCAGATGTCACAACATCAGATTCTTGCAGTTCAGCAGCTGGCAAAGGTTATGGGTTGGCACGTGCTCAGTTTCAGTAACCATGTGGGGCTGGGCCCAGTAGAAAGCATTGGCAATGCCTCTGCCATAACGATAGCATCGCCTAATGGAGATTACGCTGTTTCAGGTATTGGTAATTTAATTCATGGAGAATTACACTTCTTCCTGTGCATCACTTAAATAGAATGGAATGTTATTCCCTAAAATAGTAAATGCACGACTGTATATTCTGTAATTGTAGGGTTTATAGAAAAGCTTTTAGGTTAGGTACAGTAGTCTTAATTTTTATTTACAGATTTAATTACTGTGCAAGCAGTGAATCACTGCAGTTGTTAAGTGGATCACACGGTCTATAAGCAGATCCATCTTCCTCCATTGATTATACTTAATTGGAAGCTAGTTGGGAAGGTCACAAATGATCACATGGCCCCAGGACATGGCAGTCATCACAAATGCATGCCATCTGCCAAGCACCTGAATTTTGATCACATGAAATAGGGATGCTGTGATGGTTGAAAAGTATGGCACCGGTCATAAATTACTTTGTTCATTGCTGTTGTAATTTTGAACATTTGCTAAATGAATGGTTGTAAGTCAAGAACTGCCTATAGCAGGGGTAGGCAACCTCAGCTCTTTTATGACTCGTGGACTTCAACTCCCAGAATTCCTGAGCCAGATGGCTCAGCTTGGAAACCTCTCCCTTTCCCCTCAGCATAGCTGACTCAGGAATTCTGGGAGATGAAGTCCACGAGTCATAAAAGAGCCGAGGTTGCCTACCCCTGGCCTATAGTATAGCGCAGATTATTTTCTACACTTAGTGTTCTTTCCAGAGGAATCCAGAACAGTTTGTAAAAGAATAGTAAAAAAACAAACAAAAAACCCCCCAATAGTAAACAATTCTAAAATGAAAACTTTTAAGAGAGGATTTGGTTGAAAGAACGGTCTAAAAGCAGTTACAGTGTGGTTTCCCTTTCTCGTGCAGTACGTAACGGTCCAGAAAGTGGCAGCAAAATCATGGTGCAGTTCCCACGGTGCCAGTGCAAAGATCTCCCTAAAAGTGACGTGTTGCAAGACAACAAATGGAACTACCTGCGTGGCCCTTTCAAAGAAGTCCAGTGGAACAAAATGGAAGGGCGTAACTTTGTATACAAAATGGAGCTCCTCATGGCCGCCCTGACTCCATGCTCCTAGGTTAGCGGATAATCCAAGGAGGCGATTCTGAGACCAGCATGAGCAAAGTGAGTGTGAGAACAGCACATACATTCCAGGAAGCAATCTGTTTCTGATAACTCCATGGATTTCTCTTCAGTGATATTTGATTGCAATCTTTTATTGCCTATACCGGATACAGTCAGTCCTGCAAGTTCTGAATATTCAGTTAAACTGTGTGACAGCTTTTGAAATAATTAGTCACGTTACCGAAGTTCAAACTTTATTAAATACTTTATTGGAAACTTTGTACAAAGGATAGCAGGTTTACATGTATGTTTTGTCTTAGCTGTTTAAATTGCTTGGTTACATCTTTTGAACAAATGGACTAATATCCTATTCACAAGAAGAATCCAGAATTTTATTTGGGTCAAACTAGCATTTTGCCATAGCTATTCTTGGTTTGGCTTGCTCAAGAGCAGAAATGGTGACATTACTGAAAAATCACTTGCAGATTGGGGTACGTTTTTCTTCTTCTTCATTTTTACACTTAAAAATGAGTGTAAAAGGTTTACCAACTTGTTCAGCCCATCCAGGACTAACGTGCTGGTGAAATAAAAATTGATAATATCCATTTGGCTGAAGGCCTTGCCACAACTTGGTAGCAGGAAACAATGAGAAAAAAATACAAAAATAAATGGAATGTTTAATGTTGCCTTCATCAGATATTGGAAAGTTAACGATACCACAAATTTCCGTATTATAATAATAACCTGTTGGGTTTTTAAATCCATCAGTAACTTTTTGATGGTGGGACCTAAAACCAGGATAATGTGTTTTTCAATATAATTTAATAAAGAATTGCAGTTTTTCTAAAAGCAATGTGGTCTTCTACTGGGTGGTGTGGTGGCCTAGAGGTGGAGCTCTCACCTAACCATCAGAAGGCTGTGTTTGATCCTAGGTCACAACGGATATTTTTCTCTCTCTCTGCGCAATGAATTATTGTCTGCTGCAAACTCCAGGTAGGCGTCAGGAAGGGCATCTGGCCGGTAAACGCTTGAGCTGCGTTCAGTCATCCTGACTCCATCCCGCTGTAAGGGATTATAGGGTCATTTAAAAAAAAAAAAGTGTTGTATGGATTCAAGGCTTTTGTACCCTTCTTCTGACATGTTCTGCTGAATCGTAGCATCTTGATGTTATCAGAGAAAATTCGATGTCTTGTGAACGTGTAGGCCAGGGGTAGGCAACTTGGCTCTTTTATGACTCATGGACTTCAACTCCCAGAATTCCTGAGTCAGCTATGCTGACTCAGGAATTCTGGGAGTTGAAGTCCATGAGTCATAAAAGAGCCGAGGTTGCCTAGGCAGACCTGTAGGAACTGCAAGTCTTTTTTTTGAAATGAGTCCATTATAAATTATGATGTGGAAAGGACAGCATTTCTCAAACCTTCTGTGTATCACCTTCACGGACCTGGTGCCTTTTCTGCTTCAGAAAACTGTGTTTGACAAAATGGATATGCTCGGTCTTTTGTTTACCAATCGTGTTTTTCATGCTTTGCTTCTTCTTGAGGTAGAAAACTGATTTGTGTCTATGTTACAGTATTGTACAGCTAACACCCCATTGTTTGAAGCTCTGTCTCTTCAGTTTCGCTTACTGTAAATGAAAGGAAGGACACAGTTGATTAAGACTGGATCAGGCAGCAAGGAAGCAGTCAGAAATAAAGACCTATAGTAGTTGGATTGATTGTATACCCAACCTCTTGAGAAGCATGGACAATTAGTGAGCGGAGAACTAGAATTGACAGACTGGCTGGATTGTACCCCTTTCCAAATCTGTTGTCATGGTTCTGAAAGAAGAAGCTTTTCAAAGAACTTTGAGGCATTGTTTACCTTAAAGAATCCTTTTACTGCTACATAGCACGTACATAATGAAGCCAAAAACTGAATTCTCCTCCCCTCAATCACCCGTAACAAAGCATAACTCACTCCTTCATTTAACAGTCATCAATCACGTTCTCCAATTAGTTTGAAGTGTGAACTTTCCCTCCTGTATCTCCTCTGGTTACAACTAACCTTGGATAATACTGTACTGAAATATTGTTATGGCTAACTATTCCCCAAGTACATTCTTTCCCCCTCCCTTCCCACACTATCTACCTTTAACTCTAGAAGTAATACACAGGTTAACTAGAGAATGTCTGCTTCTTCATATATTGTCAAGCAAGAACATCGGATGTTAGCAGCCTTGACATCTGTATTGATTAATTCCAACTCTTATTCTTTTCCAGTTAGGATCTGGCCTTCAATTTCTGCCTTTACAAGTGATTTTTTAAAAAAAATGTGGAAGCCAACTCAGAAATTAAATCCACTTCTCCACCCAAAACGTAAATCTCACATATATCTAATCACCTGGAATACACCACTCAATATCATCATTTAGTACATGAAGGCTAATCTCTAATCTGCTCTATTGTTAAGAGAAGGCTACAGAGAAGAAATATGAAAGAGGAGGAAAAATGGAGGCTTTTTCAAGCTGCTGAGAGGTTTCCCACATGGGAAATCTGGCCTCTCCATTGAGCAGACCCCGTCAGAAAGAAAGGTGAGAAACAAAACCCTTTGTTTTTGTGCTTTAATTTAGGCTAAAATGTGATTGCCTCAACTTTTGGCTCAGGGCAGTGATGGCGAACCTTTTAGAGACAGAATGCCCAAAAACTGCCTCGCCTCTGCCCCGCCCCCTCTCCTGACCGCAGGGCCACCCACCACCTCCACGACCCACCACAGATTGCCCAGGTGGCCCAGTAGTGTCATGGCGGCCGTGCCCTCTGTTCGCGCCCCACAGCATCATCTGTACGCGATGGGGCGCGAGGGCAGAGTCTTGTCCCTGCTGCCTGGCTGCATGTCCTTGGCTGCGCTGTTCTGCGCAGGCTGCGGCCAGGGCAACTCTCCTTTGGGGGGGGCTGCTGGTGAGGAGGGGGCCACAGGGTGGCGGGGCTGGGGCGACGGCGTGTGTGCCCACAGAGAGGGCTCTGGGTGCCACCTCTGGCACCCCTGCCATAGGTTCGCCACCACTGGCTCAGTATTATATGAATGCAAGCAATTGGGGTTAACTCAATATGCTAGAAAGGTGTCATGTAGCCTAAGGGTCTCAACTTTATCAGGCCATGGACTCTATTAGTTAAAACTATGGGACTCTTGATCAAGAGGCAAAGCTCTAGTGATTAAAAATTGGCTGTGTTTGTGTGAATCAATCCCTCCCTCCCTTCCTCAGAACTCCAGGGTTTTGTGGAATATAGTTTGAAAAACTCTTCTGGGCGTTCAGAATACAGAATGATATATTTAAATTCATAGAACTACAGAGTTCAGAGGGACTTTAGAGATCGCGTAGGATCCACTACACTACACCATCTCTGACCGATGATCATCTGGCTTCTATTTCAAGGCTTCCAGCGAAGGAGATCTCATCACTTTATGTGGTAGCTCATTCTGGGAGCTAATAGTTCCTGTAATCCAGGAACTTCTTCCTAACATCTAGCCTTGTGGTTTTGAGCCATCAGTCCTTCCTTTTAAGTAAATAAGAGGACAAGGCAAGCTTCCATATAATTAAAAAAACTGCTATACTAGCATACCTTCCAACAATTCTGTCTTCTGCAAGCTAAACGTAACTGGGTTTACGAAAAGCAGCAATGTCTCCAATGTAAGCAGTTTGACAGTGGGAGCAATTATCCAGAACAGAAAGAGGTCTCCATTTGCTATCTATGATGCGATTAGGATTTCTCCTTGAGCAGGGTGGACTCGTCTAAATTTGTGTTTCTCAACTTCAGCAGCTTTTAAGATGTGTTGACTTCAACTCCCAGAATTCCCCAACTAGATTCTTGAAAGTTGCTGATACTGGTTAACACTGGTCTAAATTGTTTCTTCCAGGTCAGCGATCTTAAATAACTTCAGGGCAAAGAGATGCGAAGTTTAGAAACCAAGAAAAGAGGAAAGAAAGGAATGGAGGGGTTTCCCCCCCCCCCTTTTCTAGTGATTGACTGCTCAATTTGTTTTATCTTGTCGAAAACAAAACAATGAATAAATATATTTTAAGAGAGCTACTTTGATGCAGGGGTTAAAGGCACCAGCCTAGATCAGGGGTAGGCAACCTTGGTTCTTTTATGACTCGTGGACTTCAACTCCCAGAATTCCTGAGCCAGCACAGCTGGCTCAGGAATTCTGGGAGTTGAAGTCCACGAGTCATAAAAGAGCCAAGGTTGCCTACCCCTGGTCTAGCTATTGGAATAATACGAGTTCTAATCCTATTTTAGGCATAAAGCCAGCTGAATGACTTGACCAGCACTCTCTCTAAGTCCTAAGAAGACGACAATGGCAAACCGCTTCTGAAATTTTGCCAAGAAAACTGCAAGGATTTGTTCAGATTGAACACTGATATAATGATGTGCATGCTGCACATGCATGCACAGACACACACAGAGAGAGAGAGAAACATTTAAAAGACAGCCTCCAAAGGTGAAAAAATATGAAAGGGAAACTAGCACAACAAAATCCAGCAAGAAGACTTGGGGTTTTCCTTCCCCAATCTGTTAAGTAAGTCTATGGTGTCAAATGAGCATTACCTCTGAGTTGCTGCCTCTCTGTTTGCAGAAAGTGCACATATTTATTGCATAACCACATCAAGCAGATCAGGACAGCAGACGCAGCAATGAGAAAGGCAAAGAAGACGACCACAAAATGCAAGTCTTCATAGAGAATTTCTAAGGAAGGGAGACACACAGTGCAGTGAGGTTTGACCACACAAATACATCAGCTTCACTTAAGCTGCTGGGAAATGCAATTCCAGACTTCCATCAGCCTTTCTGGCTTTCTCCTCACCATTCCCCCCTCCCCACGCACCTTGCAGAGACGCAAACATACACGTACCACTTTTTCCCTCTAAAATTTAAAGGGACAAGAAAAAATATATTTAAAATAAAAAATCATAGTATTGCATTATGAAGTGTTTTCTGTGCAAGTAGAAAAGCTGAAGAAACACAGGAGAAGAGCTAAGCTTCAATATATGTTGACCCATGCTGTTTGCTTTACTTCAAGATGTGTAGGTTTTGTAGATACAATCATGGATTAATATCAGGGTTATAATGTATGTGACATAAAATTCCTGGAACTATCTTGGTTTCTTTCTACCCGCCTATGGTCATCTGCAGGTCAAAATATGTAGAATAATGGACATGATATGATCAAAATCCTGCTCGTGGATGGAACAGAAAATTCAAATGGCCCACTCCCCACACATATACATTTCCTGATCTTTAGAAAGTCAGTGACAGGGGTGTCCACAAAATTTAATCAGGAATCAAGATGGTGTTTCCAACAGTGCAGTTCAACTTTTGTAGCTCACAAGCCAATAAAGCCCTTGAAAGCTTCTTAAGTAAACCAAAAGACCCAGGACCCCAGAAGCAAAAATAGGGAGCCATCTATAATACAGGTAGTCCTTATGACCATAATAGAGCCCAATTTTTTTTTTGCTAAGCAAAACATTAAGTGAATGTTGCCCTATTTTACGACTTTCCTGCCACAGTTGTTAAGTGAATCACTGTGGATGTTAAATTAGTGACACATTTGTTAAGTGAATTTGGCTTCTGCCTCCCCATTGTCAGGTCACAAAAGGTGATCACATGACTCTGGGACCTTGCAAGCATCATAAACATGGAGAATTGTTGCCAGGCGTCTGAATTTTGATCACATGACCTTGCAAGAGTTGTAAGTGAAAAACAGTCATAAGTCACTTTTTCCTGTGCTGTTGTAACTTTGAACGGTCACTAAATTTATTTATTTATTTATTTATTAAATTTATATACCGCCCTATTTTCCTTACGGGACTCAGGGCGGTGAACAGGCGATACTAAAAACCACGATAATAAATAAATAGTTTATGTTCTAAAATCGAATTAAATAACAGGCCTGTTCTAAAAACACACCCATACAAAAACCCCCACTGAAACATAATCAAACTACGCCAGGCCGGCCGCACGGAATAGATGGACCTTCAGGGCTCGGCGAAAAAGGCGCAGGTCCGCAACTGTACGTAGGTCGGGGGTAGGTCATTCCAGAGGGCAGGAGC